TGGGTGGATCCACTGAGGTCAGGAGTTCGAGACCAGCCTGACCAACATGGTGAAACTCCATCTCTACTAAAAATACAAGAATTAGCTAGGCATGGTGGCGGGCGCCTGTAACCTCAGCTACTTAGGAGGCTGAGGCAAGAGAATCGTGTGCACCTGGGAGGTGGAGGTTGCAGTTAGCTGAGGTCGTACCATTACACTCCAGCATGGGTGACAGAGCACTACTCTGTCTCAAAAAAAAAAAAGAAAGAAAGAAATGTAATTGTCATTGTAACAGTATTAAGAGGTGAGATCTTTAAGAAGTCATCGAGCAAGCGAGAGAGAGAGCTACTCTGTCTCAAAAAAAAAAAGAAAAAGAAAGAAATGTAATTTGTCATTGTAACAGTATTAAGAGGATCTTACAGCCATCGAGTTGCTTTAAGAGGTGAGATCTTTAAGAAGTCATCGAGCAAGCGAGAGAGAGAGAGAAAGAGAGTCTTTTTCCACCGTGTAAGAACATAGTGAGGTCATCTGTAAGCTAGGAAAAGAGTCCTCATCAGAAATGACTCTGCCAGACCTTGTTCTGGGAATTCTAGCCTACAGAACTGTGAGAAAATAAATTTCTGTTTAAGCCAAAAAAAAAAAAAAAAAAAAGGTAATCAAGAGGCCTCATGAATGGATTACTGCTACTATTATGAGAGTGGGGAGTGGGTTTCTCATAATAAAATGGGTTCAGCCCCTTCTCTGGCCCTCTCTCCCGCTCCACTATGGGATGACACAGCAAGAAGACCCTGGCCAGATACTGCACTTAGATCTTGGACTTCCCAGCCTCCAGAACTATCAGGAATAAATTTCTATTCTTTATACATTACCCAGTGTCATGTATTTTGGTACAACAGCACAAAACAGACTAAGATGTATACTTTTTTTTTTTTTTTTTTTTTTTGAGACGGAGTCTCGCTTTGTCGCCCAGGCTGGAGTGCAGTGGAGTGATCTCAGCTCACTACAAGCTCCACCTCTGGGTTCACACCATTCTCATGCCTCAGCCTCCTGAGTAGCTGGGACTACAGGCGCCTGCCACCAAGCCTGGCTAATTTTTTGTATTTTTAGTGGAGATGGGGTTTCACCGTGTTAGTCAGGATAGTCTCGATCTCCTGACCTCATGATCCGCCTGCCTTGGCCTCCCAAAGTGCTGGGATTACAGGCGCGAGCCACCGTGCCCGGCCTAAGATGTATACTTTTACACAGTTCAGAAACACCAAAGATGAAACAAGATGTTTAGGCTGCAGACTACTGACTTCTTGTATCCTCATATAGCTAAAAGAGGACGAGAGTCTCTGGGGTGTCTTTTAAGGCACTGATCCCATCTATGAGGGCTCTGCCCTTGTGACCTAATTACCTCCCAAAGGCCCCACCCCTAATGACATCACATGGGGCAGTTATGATTTTTTTTTTCTTTTGAGATGGAGTCTCGCCCTATTGCCCAGGCTGGAGTGCAATGGTGCAATCTCAGCTCACTGCAACCTCTGCCTCCTCTTGGGTTCAAATGATTCTCCTGTTTCAGCCTCCCAAGTAACTGAGATTACAGGTGCACGCCACCACGCCTGGCTAATTTTTGTATTTTTAGTAGAGACAGGGTTTCACCATGTTGGCCAGGTTGGTCTTGAACTCCTGACCTCAGGTGATCCGCCCACCTCGGCCTCCCAAAGTGCTGGGATTATAGGTGTGAGCCAGTGCTCCTGGCCTCCACGAAAAATTTTTTAAAAATTAGCTGGGCATGGTGGCACACACCTGTAGTCCCAGCTACTAGGGAGGCAGGAAGATTGCTTGAGCCCAGGAGATCAAGGCTGCTGTGAGCCATGATCGTGTCCCTGCACAATCAGCCTGGGAGACAGAGTGAGACCCTGTCTCAAAAAAAAAAAAGGAAGCCTTACTGGGCATCTAATGGGAAAATCTGTTCCCAAAAATGGAAATCAGCTAGATTGCCCAAAGCACTAGAGGAACAAATGTATTTAGTGTGGTTCTGTGTGCACATGGTTGGGGGTGTATGGCAAGCGGGAGTTGTCAACTGGCAGTCTTTAGTAGTGGCTACATGGAGGCTTCTCATGATTTCCACTTTAGTCAGAACAAAAGCCACAGTAGTTCCAGTGGACTGACCTTACAGCACTACAGGATCTCCCTGACCTGATCTCCTACCACCTTCTCCCTCACTTACTCCCCTGCAGCCACACCAGCCTCCCGGCCGTTCCTCACACACACTAGCAACAGTGCTACCACAGGGCCTTTGCACTTCATTTCCCTTGCCTAGACTGCTTTCCCCAGATAGCTGCATGACTGTCCCTTACTTCCTTAATACCTTTGCTTAATGTCACCTTCTCCCTAAGGCTTTCCGTGGCCACCCTATTACTACTGCCCCTTTCCCCCATGGTTCTTAGCTTCTTCTAACATCCTCCATCACTTACTTCTGCTTATTGCTCACTGTCTCAGCATCAGTGGAATGTCAGCCCCACAAGGGCAAGGATCTTTGTTTTGTTTGTAGCTCCATACTCGGTACCCAGGATGCTGCCTGGCATATAGTAGGATCTTGATATTAAGTGATTTAGTCCATATGGTTCCCCTAGCATGCAGGATGGTATTTGGCATTCAGTAGGGGCTCGAGATGTTTGTTGAATGAATTGGGGTGATAGGGGACTTGGTGAGGACCCACCCCTACTTAGATAGCTTTAGAAGCTGTTGGATACTTCATCCCTCTGCATGGTGCTGCAGACATGGAGATGAAGAGGCGGCCTCAGTGTGGGACTAGACGGGAGCATTCTCTTGACTGAGGAAGGAATGTTAGAAAAGAAAGCTGAGGCCGGGCGTGGTGGCTCAAGTCTGTAATCCCAGCTCTTTGGGAGGCCGAGGTGGGCGGATCACGAGGTCAGGAGGTTGAGATCAGCCTGACCAACATGGTGAAACCCCGTCTCTACTAAAAATACAAAAATTAGCCAGGCATGGTGGCGTGCGCCTGTAATCCCAGCTACTGAGGAGGCTGAGGCAGGAGAATAACTTGAACCTGGGAGGTGGAGGTTGCAGTGAGCCGAGATCACGCCACTGCATTCCAGCCTGGGCGACAGAGCAAGACTCTGTCTCAAAAAAACAAAAGAGCTGAGGCCTGGTGCGGTGGCTCATGCCTACAATCCCAGAACTTTGGAAGGCCAAGATGGGAAGATCACTTGAGTCCAGGAGTTCAAGACCAGCCTGAGCAATATAGTGAGATCTTGTCTCTATTACATTTAAAATAAAAAATTATTTTAAAAAATTAAAAAAAAAAAAAAAAGAGCTGACCTGTCCATATCTGCCACCAAACACAGCCCCGGCAGCAACCCCCATCACCTCAATAATTGACTTCTCTCCGAAAGGCAAAGAAACTGCTTCCTGAGGCTGCTGCTACAAATTCAAGGCTTGGTGTCTGGACACTTTTTAACAGAAGCAACCCCCTGCTGTGGAAACTTCTGGAGGCTTGGCAGAACAGGCAGATGCCTTTTAATCTACATCTTGCTCAATCCCTGTGATGTGAAAAAAGCCAGTCTGGACAAATTGTACAGGTCACAGTCCCCAGCTTCTGAGGGGTCTGTAGAGAATTCTCGGGCTCACAGAAGCCGTTGCTGCAGTAACCACTGCTGCAAGAGCAACTTTGGCAGCAGGCAGGTGCCAGGCAGCAAGCTGAGAGAACACTGCACATATTCAAAGCGTCTTCAGATACAAGGCTTTGTTTGTGCATAGTGAACAAGGGGCAGATTAGGAAAGCCTCCTTATATTGTCCACATTTCCCTGAATCTAAGGAACCCTGTCCTCAAAATGGGGATCAGCAGGGCTCCTTTCAAGGCAAAGCAGAAAAAGCCCCAGTGGCTTGTCAGGGGAGACCAGGAGCTCTGGCTGGAGCTAGGTGTTCTGGACAAAGGGCCATATTCAAGAACTTTGGGCCCCATTTTCAAGCGTAGGCTTAGGAGAAAGATGAATTCCAGGAAATCTGAAGCTGATATCTACTTTAGCATTGTGGCACAGGGAGAAGATGGAAGGTGTCTGAAGTGGCTGGGTTATGTGGTGTTACAGGGCAGAGACAGAGCCCCAGTGCCATTCCCTGGGGAGCTTTAGCCCTTCTCAAAGGTGCTACCAAGTCTGGTTTATTATGATTGGAGAACGGAGGAGGCCTCCTTGACAGAGTGAAGTGCATAAAGCATAGGAAATGGACTACTGGACATGAGAAGTTGGGAACATCCTCCCTATGATTAAAAAAATACAAGCCAGAGACCAGGCGCAGTGGCTCAATCCAGTGCCTATAATCCCAGCACTTTGGGAGGCTGAGACGGGAAGATCGCTTGAGCCCAGGAGGTCAATGCTGCTGTGAGCTATGATTGCACCACTGCACTCCGGTCTGGGCAACAGAGGAACACCCCAGGCTCAGCATATTCTCTGGGGGTCCTGCTCTAAACTGAGAGTGAAAGCATACTCAGCTGCCAGTTGCTAGAGTTCTTGCTCAGGAAGTTGTTCAGAGAGATAATATTTCAGATTCCACAGCAGCTAAAGATTTTTTTTTTAGACAGAGTCTAACTGTCCCCCGGGCTGGAGTGCAGTGGCGCAATCTGGGCTCACTGCAACCTTTGCCTCCTGGGTTCAAGCGATTCTCTTGCCTTAGCCTCCTGAGTAGCTAGGATTATAGGTGTGCACCATCACACCTTGATAATTTTTTGTATTTTTGTACTTTTAGTAGAGACAGTGTTTCGCCTTGTTGCCCAGTCTGGTCTTGAACTCCTGGGCTCAAGTGATCCAACCACCTCAGCCACCTAAAGTGTTAGGATTACAGGCATGCACCATTGTGCCGAAGCTCATAGTTTCTATATTCCAAGAGTGAGCTCACAATCAAATGAGTCCTTTAACTTGTCCTGTACCCTGAGCAGAAAAGCAAGGCTGAAAAATGAAATGGTTCCCACCTCAGTCAACTCAGTTCCCACCTTAACTCGCAGCTCATCATACCACTTATGATTTCATCTTTCTATTAAGTACTTGAAATGGTTTTTATTATACCCTAAATTTTGGTAAACCTTGGGTTTGTTTCTAGCTTCCCTACTGGTTCACCCATCCCTTTCCCTTGTCCTTGTCCCAGGACTGCACCAGAAGTAGAGGATGGAACAATGATCTTCCCACCTTCTTGAAGGCAACTTTCTCATATGGTACAGAACTGGTACCAGCCTGGGGGATGGGAGGAGTCCCATGGGTCAGTCATCATCTGTGTCACTAGGGCCCATGTACTGACAGATGGCATCGTAGTGAAGCTCCACCACCTGATTTTCTCTTGGCAGTTGCACCAAAGCCCGGCTCCGTGCTCTGTCCCGGCTCAGCAAATGTCCCACCTGGAACAGAGGTGAAGTGGAATCAACGAGGCCAGCCTAGACCCTGGGACAGGCCCTGAACGACCCACAAACCTCTACTGCCAGGTCTGAGACTCACCCTTCCAGCCTGTGGGCCCAGCACGACCATCACACGGTCACCCTCTGCCTTGGGAACCAGGGTCTCCAGCATGTTTTCCCTCAGGCCTACAGATAAGGGAGAGGGGAGTGAGGCCCACAGCAAGGACCAGCCCAGCCAGCGTCCTGTCACAAGGGCCTTTCCTGGCCAGGCGTGGTGGCTCACACCTGTAGTCCCAGCACTTTGGAAGGCTGAGGTGGGAGGATCGTTTGAGCCCAGGAGTTGGAGACCAACCTGGGCAAGATGGTCAGACCTTGTCTCTACAATTTTTCTTTTTTTTTTTGTTTTTTGAGACCAAGTTTGGCTCTTGTTGCCCAGGCTGGAGTGCAATGGTATGATCTCGGCTCATGGCAACCTCCACCTCCTGGGTTTAAACGATTCTCCTGCCTCAGCCTCCTGAGTAGCTGGGATTACAGGTGCCCACTACTGTGCTTGGCTAATTTTGTATTTTTAGTAGAGACGGGGTTTCAACATGTTGGTCAGGCTGGTCTCGAACTCCTGACCTCAGGTGATCCACCCTCCTTGGCCTCCCAAAGTGCTGGGATTACGGGCATGAGCCACTGCACCCAGACTACAAAAATTTTAAAATTAGCCAGGCGTGGTGGTGAGTGTCTACAGTCCCAGCTACTTAGGAGGATGAGGTGAGAGGATGGCTTGAAACCAGGAATTTGAGGTGACAGTGATCCATGATGGTGTCACAGCACTCCAGCTCATGCCTGTAATCCCAGCACTTTGGGAGGCTGAGGCAGGGGGATCACAAGGTCAGGAGTTCGAGACCAGCCTGGTCAATATGGTGAAAACCTGTCTATTAAAAATACAAAAATTAGCTGGGTGTGGTGGTGGGCACCTGTAGTCCCAGCTACTCAGGAGGCTGAGGCAGAAGAATTGTTTGAACCCAGGAGGTGGAGGTTGCAGTGAGCCGAGATCATGCCACTGCACTCCAGCCTGGGCGACAGAGCAAAACTGTGTCTCAAAAAAAAAAAAAAAAAAAAGAAGGGCCTTTCCTGTATTCCCTGGAGCCGCTCTACACCTGTTGACAGATGGAGTCCCACCACATCCATTTCACAGATGAAGAAGCCTAAAGAGTAGTTTCCAAAAATCACTGTAATAAAAGGAGCATGTCTATATGGTGGTGGTGATAACAACAGGCACTTTTTATTGTGGGCATGTTTTAACCCCTGCCCTGCACTGAGAGCTCACTACACATCCCTTCACTAAGGCACCAATCACAAGAGGAAGAAATAGTAATTTCCATGCTAATTTGACAGACCGGAGGCTGGGTGCAGTGGCTCACGCTTGTAATCCCAGCACTTTGGGAGGCCGAGGCGGGAGGATTGCTTGAGGTCAGGAGTTCAAGACCAGCATGGCCAACATGGTGAAACTCCATCTCTACTAAAAACACAAAAATTGGCCAGGTGTGGTGACGCTTGCCTGTAATCCCAGCTACTCAGGAGGCTGAGGCAGAAGAATTGCTTGAACCGGGAGGTGGAGGTTGCAGTGAGCCGAGATCACGCCACTGAACTCCAGCCTTGGTGACAGAGCAAGACTTTGTCCCCCCCAAAAAAAAGAAAGAAAAAGAAAACTTGACAGACTGGGAGAGTGGAGTGAGGCTCAAGATAACCACCATCATGGAAGTGTCTAATGTTCTATAAGAGGATGCTAGGCCTTGCAAAATACCTGAACTCTGCCCAACCTCCCAGCTTTGCCTGGGCCAGGCTCTGGGCCTAAGACACTCTTCTTGATCAACCTCCAGCTGCCATCACTCAAACTCACCTTCCAGGACTCGGCCTTCATCTGTCCGACATACACAGGTATCTGGGCTTAGGACATCTTCAATTATCATCTGGGGATACAGGTCAGGGGGATGTGAGATTTTAGAGAGGTAGGGGGGCCCAGTCCCTGGAGGAGGTGAAGGGGACTCAAGCTGCAGGGTTCCCACCTTGGTGTTGTAATATTGGCCTCCTTTGTACATCTTGTCCACAAACCGCACGCGCAGGTCCCTGTGCAACCAGTGCTGACTCCTGGGGGCTGCTTTCTCACTCTTGGCTGCAGGCCCATCCAGTCTGTGGAGAAGGTCCGAGCATCAGGCTTAGCTCTTCATCAGATGCACTTTACAGTTGCCCTCCCTTTGCCTATGCTATGAAACCCACCCACAATGCAGTTCCCAGTTCCTTCTATGAGCCTGCCTTGCCTTGGAAGCCTTCCCTGGCTGCTCGAGCCTACCCACAGCCCTGCCCTCTTGACCCCTCCCATATGCTCAGAGTCCCACCGGTCTGGAAGGTGTTTCCGCTTCCTCTCTGAGTTGTCCTGCTGGACGTGGAGTTCTTGATTCCGGAGGGTCTTCCGTGATGAGGCAGTTCCATTCTGTTGCCCTGGGGAAGGAAGTTTTGCTCACCTGGCCTGTTCAAGAGGTTATGAGAACCAGGACAGAGCCTCAGTGTCTCACTGCCCTTTCCTTCCAAGGCCATGTCTCAGCCTAGAGCCACCTCCCACCTGCCAAAGTACCCCTCTCACCCCTCATGCATTTGCTAGTAGAATGCCTCTCCCCGACCTCTCAACCATTTCAGCTTCCTTCAGGAACCCTCCCACAGCTGACCTAGCCCACACCAACAATGCTAACCTAGTATTGACTAGAGATTCCCGGAAAGCTCTGTCTGTACCCATTTGCCAAACTGCCCCATCCTACTGAAATGCCTTCGCCTGTGCTGTTTTGTCTGCCTAGAATTCCTTCCTTCTTGGTCACACCCTAATTCTAGCAGTTCTCACTCCCTAGTAAAAGAGAGGTTCATCACCCCAAATGGACAAAGATCTCGAGGGTAGGAACTGCTTTCTGCACCTGTTTCTTCCCACTCAGAGACAGGCTACAGACCCAGGGGTATGACATCGACCTTTCTCCAATCAAATGGAGTAAGTCACTTACGTCCATTCTCACCTCCTGACCTCTGATTGGAAGTCATACCGGCCAGGCACACTGCTGCCCCTCCCTGCTGCAGATCTAAAACTACTCCATGAGCCAGGCCCTGCCACCCCTAGGAATGCGTCGTCAACTCCCCTAGCTCTACAAGAGGCTCACTCACTGAGGTCCAAGGTGTTCTTGTTAAACTCCTGCTGGGAGACAGGCCGCAGGCAGTACTCACTAACAGTCACCACCCGGCTCCCCACAGCCAGACGAACCATGGCCCGAACATTGTCAGGATCGAGGCCTTCCACCTAAAGTGTTGAGGGGAAGAAGTCAGGTAGGGGTTGTGGACTCCACCCACATTCCTAGGACCAAGATGTCAATCCCTTACCTCTAAGAGGCCTGCTTCCTCTGTCTCCCCAACCAGACTCCGACCCCTAAGAAGTGGGACTAGGTCTGGTTCCTGTGTCTCCCTCAGCTGACTGTGGGGCTTCCTTGGATCCTTTAAGCATTTAATCCTCAGGGACTTGTGGCATATGGCACTCTCTTCCTTTTAGCTGGGAACTGAGGCTCACAAAGGCCAGCAAGTGGTCCCGGGTTACTGAGTGAGGCAGTGGGCCAAGCAGACCTAAAAGACTAGGACTCCCAGCCTTTCTACCTCAAACCCAATTATTCCTCCATCTGACCCTGGGATCAACCTTCCCTACTGCCTGTTTTGGGCTCCCGGGATATCTTGGTTCCTTACCTTCCCATAGAGGCCTCGGTGAGGGCCAGAAAGAACCACCACAGCTCCTCCTGGCACCAGCCCTTGAGGCTGATCTTCCTTGTCCTTCTCTTGCTCCTCATCTGGCCTTGGCATGTGGGAGGGGCCGGTGGGGGTCAAGGCCTGGGACTCAGTCAGGTTGGCACCCAGCCCTAACCCCTTGGGCCTCAGTGAGTTGACACGGGGCTTCACTACTCTGCAGGGAGAACATGGGTTTGTTGGAGAGGATGCAATAGTCTTCAACACCTTATTTACCTCCTCTCCCTGCCCAAACCCCCACCCCCATCACTGACATTTTCTTTTCTTTTCTTTTTTTTTTTGGAGACGGAGTTTTCTCTTGCCATCCAGGGTGGAGTACAATGGCTCCATCTTGGCTCAATGCAACCTCCGCCTCCTGGGTTCAAGCGACTCTCCTGCCTCAGCCTCCCAAGTTGCTGGGGTTACAGGAGCATGCCACCATGCCCGGCTAATTTTTGTATTTTTAGTAGAGACAGGGTTTCACCATGTTGGTCAGGCTGGTCTCGAACTCCTGACCTCAGCTGATCCGCCCTCTTTAGCCTCCCATAGTGCTAGGATTACAGGTGTGAGTCACCGTGTCTGGCCCCCATCGATATTTTCAAGGTTGCCCTTTCCGATCTCATATTAGGACTGTTTTTGACCTACAGAAACAGCAATTTCATTTGGTTCGACCTAATAACATGCTGCATATACCATCTATTACATAATATCTACAGTGAGATCAGAGGCAGATCACTGTAACCAAATATACTATTTCTACAGGGGAAATCATATGAATATTCACACCAAGCAGGAGAAACGGACTATAAAAACTCAACATGGTTGGGCACGGTGGCTCATGCCTGTAATCCCAGCACTTTGGGAGACCGAGGTTGGCAGATCACCTAAGGTCAGGAGTTCAAGACCAGCCTGGCCAACATGGGGAAACCTCATCTCTTCTAAACATACAAAAATTAACCAGGCGTGCTGGTGCATTCCTGTAATCTCAGTTACTCAGGAGACTGAGGCAGGAGAATCACTTGAACTCAGGAGGTAGAGGTTGCAGCGAGCTGAGACTGCGCCACTGCATCCCAGCCTGGGTGACAGACAGAGACTCCATCTCAAAAAAAAAAAAAAACAAAAAAAAACTCAATGCGAAAGTTGGCTGCCAATGGGTTATGAAAAAAATGTTTGTTTTTCACAATTCTTGAGTTTGCAATTGCGAAGAAAAGGTTGTAAGTCTGCATGACAATAGCAAATGTTTAGTCTACGCTTTCTTGGGGTCAGGGCCTACTGTATGTGCTTTACGTATATAATTTCTTTATTTTTTTTGAGATGGCGTGTCACTCTGTCGCCCAGGCTGGAGTGCAGTGGTGTGATTTCGGTTCACTGCAAGCTCCGCCTCCTGGGTTCACGCCATTCTCCTGCCTCAGCCTCCTGAGTAGCTGGGACTACAGGCGCCCGCCACCATGCCCGGCTAATTTTTTGTATTTTTTTTTTAGTAGAGACGGGCTTTCACCGTGTTAGCCAGGATGGTCTTGATCTCCAGACCTTGTGATCCACCCGCCTCAGCCTCCCAAAGTGTTGGGATTACAGGCATGAGGCACTGCGCCTGGCTCTAATTTCTTTTCTTTTTCTTTTTTTTTTTTTTGAGACAGAGTCTCGCTCTGTAGCCCAGGCTGGAGAGCAGTGGCCGGATCTCAGCTCACTGCAAGCTCCGCCTCCCGGGTTTACGCCATTCTCCTGCCTCAGCCTCCAGAGTAGCTGGGACTACAGGCGCCCGCCACCTTGCCCGGCTAGTTTTTTGTATTTTTTAGTAGAGACGGGGTTTCACCGTGTTAGCCAGGATGGTCTCAATCTCCTGACCTCGTGATCCACCCGTCTCGGCCTCCCAAAGTGCTGGGATTACAGGCTTGATCCACCGCGCCCAGCCTAATTTCTTTTCTTAAAATTAATTAATCTTTTGTAGAGATGGGGCCTCCCTATGTTGCCCAGGCCAGTCTCAAACTCCTGGGGTTAAGTGATCCTCCTGCCTCAGTCTCCCAAAATGCTGGGATTACAGGCATGAGCCACTACCTGGCCTATGTGTATAATTTCATTTAACTCTCACAACAGACCTGTGAAGTCAGTACTATTACCCCCATTTTTCAGATGAAGAAATTGATGTCCCTAGAGGCAGACTTTATATAAATGGGATTCTATTAGAGTTTCAAAGGGCAAATGGGAGTTTAAAACAGTAGTGGAAGGGGCTACTGAATTAGTTAGGGCGATAAAGTATCCTCCCTCCCTGCCTGGAGTGGTTCTGGTTTGGCAGTGACCCTGGGGATCTTGATTGCAGCCTGATCTGTCTGTCCCCTCGCCCCTATCCCAGAACTCACTGATTGAAGGTGCGGCCGATGCCCTCGCCAGGTTTCCAGCCCATGCCCCGCAGCATGGCCAGCCCATAGGCCTCCACGGGGACCGCCTCATAATTAGCCTCCTCTGGCACCTACAGGTTCAGGTAGAGGAAGGAGGGTCAGGCTTTGCTTACACTGGGTCCTCTGTTTGAAGTGCACTTGCTGCCACCCACTGGGAGACCTGCTACGCATCTTTTCCAATCAGCTCAAGGGTGTTTTGATTTCCTCTTTCCATCCCTCACTGTACTCCTCCATGTTCAGTCCTTCAACAAATAGAAAGCACCTAGTCTATGGCAAGTACTGTTCTAGGTACTGGGGATGAAGCTGTGAACCAAACAGACAAAAACCCCTACCCTTGCAGAGCTTCTGATCTAGTTGTGGAGACATACTATAAATAAAACCCAGAAAACATGATATGTCAGGTGGTGACGTAAAGAACAAGAAAGCAGGGTAAGAAGATGCAGAGGGATGGAGAGGGAGTGCCTCTGGGTTGACATTTAAGCAGAGATCAGGAAATGATAGCAGAGGGAGCCATGAGGATATGAGAAGAAAGTGTCCCGAGCTGAAAGCACAGTTACAGCAAAGTCCCTGAGGCTGGACAAGGCTTGGTATGTGTGAGGGGTAAAAGTCACCATGACTGAAATGGGGATAGTGAGAGTAGAGAGCAGAGAAGGGTGGGGAAGAGATCAAATCAGGAGAGCTGGGCAGGAGTCAGAGGACCCTGAGCCAGGTGGGAGCCATAAGAGGGACCAGTGAGGAAATTACTCTAATAGCCCAGATGAGAGATGTTGGTGGCGGTGAGAAGTGGTCAGTTCTGGGTGTCATTTTGAAAAAAGATGAAGGATTGTGCTGGCAGAGTGTATGGGGCATGAAATAAAGAGGGGAATTGAGGATGACTCCAAGGTTTTCTTTTTTTTTTTTCTTGAGATGAAGTCTTGCTCTGTTGCCCAGGCTGGAGTGCAGTTGCACAATCTCAGTTCACTGCTACATCAGTCTCCTGGTTTCAAGCGATTCTCCTGCCTCAGCCTCCTGAGTAGCTGTGATTACAGGCATGTTCCACCATGCCCGGCTAATTTTTGTATTTTTACTAGCGATGGGGTTTCACCATGTTGGTCAGGCTGGTCTCGAACTCCTGATTTCAGGTGATCCGCCCACTTCAGCCTCCCAAAGTGTTGGGATTACAGGCTCGGCCGACTCCAAGGTTTTTATGCTGAGTGAGAGGAAGGATGGATGGAATTTTTGGTCACCTGATATGTATAAAGCTGCAGGAGGAGGTTTATAGAGGGAAAAATTAGAGGAATGAGGTTAAAGCTGGAACAGGATGAAAGGATGAAGAGGGAAGTGAGGATCTTTTTTTTCTTTAAAGATGAAGGAGCTGGGCACAGTGGATCATGCCTGTAATCCCAGCACTCTGGGAGGCCAAGGTGGGTAGATCACCTGAAGTCAGGAGTTCAAGACCAGCCTGACCAACGTGGCGAAACCTCGTTTCTACTAAAAATACAAAAACTAGCCAGGCGGTAGTGACACGTGTCTGTAATCCCAGCTACTTGGGAGGCTGAGGCAGGAGAATCGCTTGATCCCGGGAGCGGGAGGTTGCAGTGAGCCGAGATCGTACCACTTCACTCTAGCCTGGGCCACAGGGCAAGACTCTGTCTCAAAAAACAAAAAACAAACAAACAAAAAAAAAGTTGAAGGAAATCAGAGCACATCTGAAGGCTGAAGAGAACAGTTCAGTTGAAAGAGTGTGTTATGGGGCTGTAGGAGAAGTAGACTCCAAAGAAGCAATGCAAGAAATTTATGAAAGAAGAGGTGAAAAGTCAGGTCTGTGGGTATGAAAGACAGACTTGGTTACTCCTGTAGACACGCCTCTCACATCTCCTCTTGTCACCTCCCATCATCACTCCTTCCCATTCACTCCAGACACACCACATGTTGCCTCACTGATGGACACACACCACATCGATTTTCTGCCACTATGCCATTGCTTGGGCTGTTACTACCAACAGGAACACTCACTCTGTTCTTCCCTCTCACTAAACCCTACTTATCCTTCCAGACCACTCTGCTCTAAGTCCCCAGCATCTCTAGCCTGGACTACTCATCCCCTTGCTTCCACCTTCACTAATGAGTCTGTTCACAGCAGCCAGAGGGATGCTGTCAAATCATAAATCATATTTCATCTATGCTCAGGGCTTGCCCAGGCTCTCATCCCACTCAGAGTAAAAGCCAAAGTCCTCACAATGGCCTACAAGGCCCTGCCTTGTCTAGCACCCCCATCTCCTTTCTGACTTCGTCTACTATCCCTTCCCCTCACTCATTCCACTTCAGTCACACTGGTCTCCTTGGTGTTCCACAAACACTCTAGGCAGTGTCTACCTTCAAGGCCTTTACATTTCCTGTTCCCTTTGCTGCACACCTCATTCAGATAATCCTAGGATTCAAGTACGTTTTTAGCATCCAGATATCCAGATTCATTTGGTAATGCTTCCAAAAAGGATGACAGAAGAAAGGACAGGTGGCGGGCCTCTAGCACACACAGACTTTCCCTGCTATGTGCAGGGACACAGCCTGGCAGACAGGGCAAAGAAAGGCTGGGGCAGGAGGGTGACAAGGGGCCAGCTCACTGTCTCTGCCTGGGGTTCGCTGTCTGCCCCTTCCTCGCTGGGGGTGCATCCTTTCTGGATCATGGGGATAGCGAGCGTGGGGTCGACACCCGCATTCTCTCTCTCTTCCAGAGACTTCTTGGATTCTAAGGGAAGAATGGGAGGGAGCAATGAAGTCCCACTCTATCCTTCCACCTTCTTCATCTTCTTCCTCCACTGGGGAAGGGTAAAGGGGCATCACTCACCCTCAATGAGCTCCTTCACAGCCTGGGACAGCACCCCATCTGCCAAGGCCTCAGTATCTGTGGATGGCCCAGGGGGCCGGGCTGGTGACTGCCTGCGATGGCCATTCTGGATCAAAGGGATGACGAGTTCCTTGGGGGCTTCCTGGGGCTTCACACTGATGTGGACACAGAGGGGTGGGGTTGGGAGAATGGCAGTGTCAGTGGGTCACACTCCTTTATTCAGAGAAAACACAAGAGCCAAACTCACCCCAGCCCCACAGACCATGCCTTCTCTACTCCATGTCTGGATCTCCTGTACCTCTCTGATCGTGCATTCTTTGGATTATCTCCCCCAGGGCCCCCAACTTGTAAATGTCAGTGCCTTCAAGAAATAAGTCCTGGACTCTCTGTTTAACTCAAGACTGGCTTCCACAATGGCCCACAAATCACTATCTTCAGACTAGACCCTCCCTAGCTCCAGGTTCCCAAACAGCTTCCTAGATGCCTGATTCTCTTCTGGAAATCCCTCCCTCAGACTCTCCTCTCCTCATTAAGCTGATGGTGGCCTCCATCAACCTGAATCTGCCGCTCCATCCCGTTCCCCATATCAGAGAAGCCCCACCACTTCAGCTGAGACACTAGCAGGTCCTGTCATTTTCTCATTCTTTCCTTCTCCCAGAACGCACACACCTCAGTGTCTTCAAGTCCTAAAGACACTTCTCAGTAATACATCCTCTCTTCGCAATTCCCACGGCTATCAGGCCCAATTTCCCCACCCCTCCTATAAACTCCAGCCTTCTGGCCTCCACGAATTTACTCAGGCTGTGCTTCAGGCTTAACAGGTCACTGTCACCAAGACAAACGACTGAGATTCCTCCCTCCCGCTTACGCCCACCGCAGCGATTTCCAAGGTGTGAAAGACCCGGCGCGTCACCTCTGCAGCTCCCTCCCTTCCACGGTTTTCAAGAAATCCTTCTCCTCCGGAGATGGCCTCGCGCCGTCTCCCGAGTCGGCCAGCCGCCTCCGTGCGGACGTGCGAGTGAAGCCGAATGAAATTGGGGCAGTGGAAGCAGCCGTCAGCGGCAAAACACCCTCTTCGGAGTCAGCCATCTTGCCCCTTTTCCCAGGCCCGCGCGCTGCTTGCTGGGAAATTTAGTTTGGGTTCAGATCGCTAGGGGCCGGCCAAAGTGCATAAAAACTACCTTCCCATCAACCACTGTGGCACCGGCGGGAGGGGGCGGTAAGGGGCCGTGGCAAGTAATTGTCGCTCTTTCAAACGTCGTGGGAGTGCGTCGCGCCAAGTGCACAGGGAAATGTAGTTTTTTTGTTTTGTTTTGTTTTGTTTTGTTTTGTTTTGTTTTGTTTTTAAGATGGAGTCTTGCTCTGTTGCCCAGGCTGGAGTGCAGTGGCGTGATCTCGGCTCACTACAACCTCTGCCTCCCGGGTTCAAGCGATTCTCCTGCTGCAGCCTCCTGAGTAGCTGAGGCTACAGGCATGCACCACCACGCCCGGCTAAATTTTTGTATTTTTAGTAGAGACGGGTTTCACCGTGTTAGCCAGGATAGTCTCCATCTCCTGACCTCGTGATCCGCCTGCCTCGGCCTCCCAGAGTGCTGGGATTACAGGCGTAAGCCACCACGCCCGGCCGGAAATGTAGTTTTTAGCGAGGTAGGCATGGTGGAAGGTGGATTCATTCTTGCCAGGCATTGATTCCTTCGTGTAGGCATTTGACAAGTATTTATGGAGCGCCTACTGTGTGCCCTACTCATGTGGGAAGTGTTGATGAAGTAAATCATTTAGAAATAATCAGCCAGGTGTGGTGGCGTGCACCTGTAGTTTCATTTAGCCTGCAGGCTGAGGCAGGACGATGGCCTGAGGCCCGGGAGTTCGAGGCTGCACTTAGCTCTTATAGCGCCACTGCATTCCAGCATGGGTGACAGAGCGAGACCCCGTCTCTAAAAAAGAAAAAGTCAGGGTCGGGGGCGGGGGAAGGAGTGTCAGTTGTCTACAATAATAAATAATAGACATAAAGTGCCTACTGGCCGGGCGTGGTAGCTCATGCCTGTAATCCCAGCATTTTGGGAGGCCTAGGCCGGTGGATCACCTGAGGTCAGGACTTTGAGACCAGCCTGACTCATATGGTGAAACCCTGTCTCTACTAAAAATACAAAAATTAGCCGGGCTGGTGGTGGCACCTGTAGTCCCAGCTACTCAGGAGGCTGAGACAGGAGGATTGCTTGAACCCAGGAGGCAGAGTTTGCAGTAAGCCGAGATCCCGCCACTGCACTCCAACCTGGGCAACAGAGCAAGACTCTGTCTTAAAAAAGAAAAGAAAGAAAGAAAGAAAGAAAGAAATAGTGCCTACTGACCAGGCTCATACCTGTAATCCCAGCACGTTTGGAGGCTGAGGCAGGCGGATCACTTGTGAGGTCAGTAGTCCGAGACCAGCCTGGCCAACATGGTGAAACCCCGTCTCTACTGAAAATACAAAAATTAGCAGGGCGTGGTGGCACGTGCCTGTAATCCCAGCTACTCAGGAGGATGAGGCAGGAGAATCACTTGAACCCGGGAGGCAGAGCTGAGATCTCAACACTCCAGCCTGGGTTACAGAGCGAGACTCAGTCTCAAAAAAAAAAAAGAAAAAGAAAAGAAAAAGAAAAAAGAAAAAAATAAACTTGTAGTTTAGTAGGGAATATAGACATTTAAATACATATTTAAAAAATACAGCAACATGTGCCGAGCTTAGTGGCTTACGCCTGTAATCCCAGCACTTTGGGAGGCCTAGGTGGGAGGATTGTTTGAGCTCAGGACTTTGAGACCACCCTGGGCAACATAGTGACACCCTGACTCTACAAAAAAAATGTAAAAATTACCGGGGTGTGATGGCACGCATCTGTGGACCCAGCTACTTGGAGAGCTGAGTGGGAAGGATCGCTTGAGCCCAGGAGGCTGAGGATGCACTGAGCGGTTATGAGGCCACAGCACTAAAGCCTGGGCAACAGGGTGATACTTTATCTCGAAAGAAAGAGAGAGGAAGGAAGGAAGGAAGGAAGGAAGGAAGGAAGGAAGGAAGGAAGGGAGGGTGACATTTATCTGAAAGAAAGAGGAAGAAGTGAATAAAGAAGAAGAAGAATAAGAAGAAGGTGAAGAAGAAGGCTAAAGTATAGGAAGGAAGGAAGGAAGGAAGGAAGGAAGGAAGGAAGGAAGGAAGGAAGGAAGGAAGGAAGGAAGATATACAAACACATATAGCAACATTAAGCATTAACAGCAAAATATATATATACACACATATACATATAGCAACATTAAACATATTGTGAGAACCAGGTCCTAAGGCTTCAAAGATTACTGATATGAAGGAAAAATGAAGCAGTCAGAAAATTAAAAAAAAAAAAAAAAAGATTATTGAGACAGATGTCTCTTGTGTAGGACCTCAAGAGTTCATACAGGCCGGGTACGGTGGTTCATGCCTATAATCCCAGCACTTTGAGAAGCCAAGGCAGGTGGATCACTTGAGGCCAGGAGTTCAAGACCAACCTGGCAAGCATGGCGAAACTCTGTCTCTACTACACATACAAAAATTAGCCGGGCATGGTGGCGGGCGCCTGTGGTTCCAGCAATTCAGGAGGCTGAGGCACAAGAATCGCTTGAACCCGGGAGGCGGAGGTTGCAGTGAGCCGAGATCATGCCATTGCACTCCAACTTGGGGGACAGAATGAAACTCTGCCTTAGAAAATGAAAACAAATTTTTTTTAATTAAAAAAGGAGTTTATATAGAGTGGCTTATACCGAGTTGCTGGGTGTGGTGACTCATGCCTGTATTTTCAGCACTATGGGAGACTGAGGCAGGAGGATTACTTGAGGCCAGGAGTTAGTGGTTGCAGTGAGCTATGATCGTGGCACTGCACTATAGTTTGTGTGACAGAGCAAGACCCTGTCTCTAAAAAAGTAAGTAAATAAAATAGTTTGTACAGTAGATGACAGATACTTAAACAGATATTCTTAAGAAAGAGTTAATATAATTCTGTTACAAATCAGGCTCAAGGAAATCACTGAAGATGTGTAAAATAATTTTATGTGAGATTCATTATTGTATTATTGTGGCAAAAGCTTGAAGACCACTTAAATTATCAACAGAAGGGGATGCAGTAAATGAATTATAGCACACACCTTGGATGGAAGAAATATGCCTTTACATTGGAAGTTATAAATAAATAAATAAATAAATAAATATATTTTGAGACAGGGTCTCGCTCTGTTGCCCAGGCTGGAGTATAGTGGCATGATTTCAGCTCACTGCAACCTCCACCTCCTGGGTTCAAGTGATTCTCATGCCTCAGCCTCCTGAGTAGCTGGGATTAGAGGTGCCTGACACAATGCTGGGCTAATTTTTCTATTTTCAGTAGAGGTGGGGTTTTGCCATGTTGGCCAGGCTAGTCTCAAACTCCTCACCTCAGGTGATCCACCTGCCTCAGCCTTCCAAAGTGCTGAGATTACAGGCCTGAGCCACTGCATGACCAGCCACTATAAATATAATTAAATGGACTGGGCACGGTGGCTCATGCCTATAATCCCAGCACTTTGGGAGGCCAAGGCAGGCAGATCCTCTGAGGTCGGGAGTTCGAGACCAACCTGGCCAACATGGTGAAACCCCATCTGTACTAAAAATAAAAAATTAGCCAGGCATGGTAGTGGTTACCTGTAATCCCAGTTACTTGGGAGGCTGAGGCAGGAGCATCACTTGAACCCAGGAGGCAGGGGTTGTGGTGAGCTGAGATCACGCCACTGCACTCCAGCCTGGGTGACAGAGCTAAACTCTCTATCAAAAAAATAAATAAATAAATAAATAAACAAACAAAATAAACAAAAAGAAAAGAAAAGAAAAAATATATAATTTTTTTTATTATACTTTAAGTTCTAGGGTACATGTGGATAACGTGCAGGTTTGTTACATATGTATACCTGTGCCATGTTGGCGTGCTGCACCCATCAACTCGTCAGCACCCATCAACTCGTCATTTACATCAGGTATAACTCCCAATGCAATCCCTCCCCCCTCCCCCCTCCCCGTGATAGGCCCCGGTGTGTGATGTTCCCCTTCCCGAGTCACAGTGATCTCATTGTTCAGTTCCCACCCATGAGTGAGAACATGCGGTGTTTGGTTTTCTGTTCTTGCGATAGTTTGCTGAGAATGATGGTTTCCAGCTGCATCCATGTCCCTACAAAGGACACAAACTCATCCTTTTTTATGGCTGCATAATATTCCATGGTGTATATGTGCCACATTTTCTTAATCCAGTCTGTCACTGATGGACATTTAGGTTGATATCAAGTCTTTGCTATTGTGAATAGTGCCGCAGTAAACATACGTGTGCATGTGTCTTTATAGCAGCATGATTTATAATCCTTTGGGTGTATACCCAGTAACAGCATGGTACTGGTACCCAAAACAGCATGGTACTGGTACCAAAACAGAGATATAGACCAATGGAACAGAACAGAGTCCTCAGAAATAATACCACACATCTACAGCCATCTGATCTTTGACAAACCTCAGAAAAACAAGAAATGGGGAAAGGATTCCCTATTTAATAAATGGTGTTGGGAAAATTGGCTAGCCATAAGTAGAAAGCTGAAACTGGATCCTTTCCTTACTCCTTATACGAAAATTAATTCAAGATGGATTAGAGACTTAAATGTTAGACCTAATGCCATAAAAACCCTAGAAGAAAACCTAGGTAATACCATTCAGGACATAGGCATGGGCAAGGACTTCATGTCTAAAACACCAAAAGCAACGGCAACAAAAGCCAAAATTGACAAATGGGATCTAATTAAACTAAAGAGCTTCTGCACAGCAAAAGAAACTACCATCAGAGTGAACAGGCAACCTACAGAATGGGAGAAAATTTTTGCAATCTACTCATCTGACAAAGGGCTAATATCCATAACCTACGAAGAACTCAAACAAATTTACAAGAAAAAAAACAAACAACCCCATCGAAAAGTGGGCAAAGGATATGAACAGACAGTTCTCAAAAGAAGACATTCATACAGCCAACAGACACATGAAAAAACGCTCATCATCACTGGCCATCAGAGAAATGCAAATCAAAACCACAATGAGATACCATCTCACACCAGTTAGAATGGCAATCATAAAAAAGTCAGGAAACAACAGATG